CGTATAGGTCAGGCATTAGGAGTTTATCTGGGAGGAGGGCAACCTTATGGATGTTCAGGTGTCAGGAACTCCTTAAAGAGCTGCCAGGTTAGGGTATCAGACTAAGGATGGCCTTACTCTTTGGAGGAACCTGCCCTCTCCTACTACAACATGATATCTTCTTCAAGGTAAAGCATATATCAGCCTTTTATGTAGTTGCAAGGGAAGGGTAGAAATTGGGCCTGTCAAAAGATAACAAAAAATCCTCTCCAGCTCACCGGGGAGGGGGGGAGTGGAGTTCCAAAAGAAAGTCTGGTTGGTGGCTCAAATCAGTAACAGGGAATGTGAAATATAATTTGGTCCTTAGATTCCTGGAGGAGGGTGTGGCCCAGAAGTGAGGGTTATACTAAATTTCTATTCCCTGCTAATTTTGTCCAAAGTACATAGAATATATTTGTAGTTAGATGTTAATTCTTAGATTTTGTTAGTTAATCTCTTAGCCATCTTTGTATCCCTACTCTTTTAAGCCAAAATTTTGGTATTACAACCATCTATATCATAGTTGAAATAATTTGGGATAAAGTGCAGAGCATAGCCCACATTGAATACAAAGTAGCCTATATATAATCATTGAAAAAGAATGAATGGATCTGATTTGCACTGTCATGCTTATTTTCTGCAGTTTTGACACTAACTTTTAGATGCTATATATCTGACAAGAATTGAGTTGTTAGTTCCCAAGTCCCAGAATTTCAGAGTTCAAAGGGGCTTCATGTTTCCTGGTCCAATCTAGATCTGAACAAAAACACCCTCTATGGCATCTGATAAATAGTCATCGTGTCTTTCTTTGGAAACATGTAAAGAGGAGAAACTCACTACTTTTTAAAGCATTCCATCTTAATTCTTGGAGAGCTCTAATTATTAGGAATTATTTCCCCTCTTGACGTCAAGCCTAAATTTGCCTCTCTATATAATCCATCCATTCATTGCTTAATAGCGTATAGGTTTTGCATTCCTTTGCACTTCTCCTCAGGGTCAAGAAAAAAAAGTTTAATAATCCCTCTTCCACATGGAGCCCTATACCTACAGATAATCATCATTAATTAATCTTCCCTGACTTTTATCTAGCCAAACGTCCATGGTTTGTTTAGCCAACCCTTGTATGACATGATCATAAGACCATACACCATCCTTTTTGGATGTCTGAATGCTCTGTAGCTGAATGTCTTTCCAAAAACATCATGCTCAGAACTCACCATGATACTGCAGATTAAATATGACCCCTGGACAGTATGCTTCTCTCAAAGCAGTCAGAGTCTATTAGATTTTTTGGCTGCCATATCACACTATTCTACATATTGAGCTTGAAGTCCACTAATTGACTACCATCTTTACCTAAAAAACTGCTATAAAGCTACACGTCTGTCTACAAAACTACTCTAATAGCTTGTGAAATGGATGCTTCAGAGCCTAGAACTCTTTTGATCAACTTTAGTGAGAGGATGGAATGCAGTTCTATAACAGGAGTACTCATCCAGGAGTCCATGGTTCCATACCAAAGTGATATAGGGGATTGTTTGCTTGAGTCTTAACTTCAGCAACTTCAGTAACTCTCCACTTTGCTTTGGCCAGGGCTAGTGTTTGCTTTCAACTGGAAGTACAACATACAAATAGCAAGTTTTTATGTTCTTTGTAAAGAATGAAACTTGAAAGGCAGCAAACAAGTACTTAATAGGGATGATCAAGTTGTGACTCAATACATTTGGGGGGGCAGGCTTTTGCTCAAATAATGCATCACACATGCTTGGAAAGAAAATTGATAAACACCAACCCTAAACTATACCAAATGATCAACTTCTTGATTGAATTTACTTTGTGTCCAAGTCTACAGAGTTCTTGTAACCTTTGAAAGACTATAAAGTCATGAAGAGATTCAGGAGAACTGAAGAATTTTTATGTTGTTGAGTATTTAGAAACTCATTTTCTTATCTAGAGGATCAACATTAGATTACTGTTCTTTAAAGTACAGAAATGTATGTCTATGTAAAATATGTACACACATGCATGTATATGCACATGTACAATTAATTTTCACCTTAGGGTGGTTTTGTGGGGGGAGGGGAGGTTCTTGTTGGTATGCCCACTTTACAGTTTCTAAGAACTTTGAAGAACAGATTTGCATGTATATCTGTTGTTATTCAGTTGTTTTTCAGTTGTGCCCAATCTCTGTGACCCCATTTGGGGGTTTCTTGACAAAGATCACTTGAGTGGTTTATTATGTCCTTCTCAAGCTCATTTTACAGATGAGGAAACTGAGGCAAACAGGCCTAAGTGACTTGCCCAGAGTCACACAGCTGGTAAATGTCTGCCGCCAGATTTGAACTCAGGAAGATGAATCTTCCTGACTTCAGGTCCAGCACCCTATCCACTGTGCTTCCTAGCTGCCCTGCATGTACACCTAATAATGCCTAATTTGGTGCTTTGAATCTCATGAGGATTCAATAGTTGGTGTTTTGTGAAAGCAATGACACTTTTGTTTTTTGTTCAAAACACTGCAGACAATCATACTGATGCTTCCTTTGGCCATCTGTGGCTACTTTAGTTTTGTCACAGATCGCGACAACAGTAGGAAGTCAAGAGAGTAACAACATAAAATCAAATGAGATTTGTATATAACCCTCATTGTCATATGTAGAAGAGAGGATATGCACCAGTTGGAAATTTCTGTTTATGTGGTCTGAGATACAACCCTTTGTCTGGAAGGAAGGACGGTCCTTCAAGGTTGGTTTTGAGGTTATTGGTGGAGTAGCTCACACTGCGCTTACCTAATTACACAGTGCTTGAGCTGGAAAATTAAATGTTCTGGTAAGCTTCCCCTCCCCCGAGATGCTGTCCTCTCTCATTTTCTGCCTTTGTGTTCATCTTTCTCTTCTTATTTTTTTCCATCTGTGCATTTTTCTTTCTTAAGGGTTTGTTCTCTGTCTCTGTCTCTGTCTCTCTGTCTCTCTGTCTCTCTGTCTCTCTCTCTCTCTCTCTCTCTCTCTCTCTGCCATTTCATTTTCCAATTCTTACTGAGCTTTTCTTTTTAGTCTATATATTTTCTCTCTCCTGCCTTTCACTCACTATCTCCTCCTTCATTTTACATGTAGATATAGCCCTGGTCATCTTTCTAGATAAACCTTTCAAGGTATTAGATTCTTAAGCACACTAATGTATATATTTATATGTGTTTATGTGTGGTATGTGTGTTCCCACTTCTGCATAGAATTCAAGAAATCTACTTGTCCAGACCACCTTTAGATAGTGAAAACTAGTGTCCTAGTGTCATAAAGAGTGGTAAGAACAGGGGAATAGGAAAGCATGATAAGGGAAGTGAAAGTGGTGCTGTGAAGCATTTGTTAGGTGGGATGGGGTCTGTATCCACAACTGATCCTGACTCCATTCTTTCTTGATTTCTAATTGTCTTCCTTAGCTCTTCCCAGTCCTTTTTCCATCTTCTAGATTTGTTCTAAAAACTGACACTACTATTCTCTGCTTCTTGTTCTCCCTATATTATTTTCTAAGACACGGAAATCTCCTTTTCTTTAGTTAAGTTGAGGTGACTTTTGAGTTTTTTTCAAAATAAGGTTTTATTACTTATGTGTTTATGCACATGCATATATGTATGTAAATATTGTATTTAGAGGCAACATGGTACATTGTGAAAGTATGCTAGATTCAGATTAATAAGACCTAGATTCAGATCTTCATTCTGCTACTTATTAGCTATATAACCTTGTCCAAGTGACTTTACCTCTCTGGGCCTCAGTTTCTTCATCTGTGAAATGAGAGGGTTGAACTAGAAGACTGCCAAGACATCTTCCATTTTAGACTATTCTGACATATTCCTATTAACATGTATATATAGTATCTATAGGCATTTATATAATTATGTATATATGTAGATTACATCTATATAGCATTTTAAGGTATAATAATAATTAACAAATCAATCGAGAAGCATTCATTAAACACTTACTATGAGCCAGGCACTGGGCCAAAACAGAATGAAAGCAAAAATAGTCCCGTTCCTCAAGTAGCTTAGATACTAATGGAGTGACACCATATGCATAAATAGGAATATACTAGATAAATACAGAATAAAAGAAAAGTAATCTTTGAGTGGAAGGTGCAAGTGATTGGGAAGTCCAGGAAAAGCTATTTGTAGAAAATGCCATTAGAACTCATGTTTGTGTAAGACTTTAAAGTTTGTAATATATTTTACACGCGTAATCTCATTTGGGCACTTGGAAAAACACCATGTTGGCTCCCATCATTCCCATTTTAGAGATTTGATAACTGAGGTCAAATCACTGGCCCTTGGTCACAGAGCTAGCAAGTGTCAGAAGTGGGATTTGAAGCCAATTCTTTTTTTTATATTGACAAATGTTTAATTGCTGAATTCTTATGATAACATCATTTACAGCTGAACCCTCCAAGTCAGTTTTAACACTACTATTCACATACTGTAGAACATGCCAGCAAACTTTAAATTCAACAGATCCTAAGGCACAAGTGAGCTTAACAGGTACTTAACTCAGCAGAAGGTCCTATCACAGTTCCCATTCAAAGATCACCCACACATGTGATGGGATGTTCTTTACTCTGGATTGTTAGACAATAAAATGCACTGAAGTGCCTTTCAACAATTTAAAAGTGGTATTTAATCAAATCACTGTAATTAAGCTGTTTATGAATGGAAAGTTAGGGAATTTAAGTTAGAAATTTGTGAGTTTGTTTTGATTCAGTTGACCTTGCCTTTGGACAGGCTGGGGCACAAATTTTCCCCAAAAGATAATCCCCCAACATACTACAGGTAAAAGTCATATGAAACTATCAAGTAGATTTTCCCTATTGCTTAGTGAAAGAAGCCAGATTCAAAACTTTCCAAGACAGAGGTGGAGCACATTACCTCTAATAAAAATCTTGTAAAAGAAACAGAAGTGTGACAGCTTGGTTGTGGCTGTAATTATGACCTTTCCTTTATTGGGACTGCTGAACAAAATTTTTAAACAGCCATTCATGATCAAAATTCTCTGGTTGATGAAACCAATTTAAATAGGATTGTTATGATACATATAAAAAAAGAAAAGCAATCTCATCACAAGAGAGACACCTCCTTTTTATAATAAATAAGGCAGCAGACAGCCATTACTCGCTGGTAGCCTTTTTAAGGCATACTATCAAGTCTGCCCTTTCTCCCTTCTTCTCAATGCCTGTGAAGATCATCTTGGTTCCAGGGATGTACTTCTTGGGGTTCTCCAAGTACTCCATCAGCATATCCTCTCCCCATATGATACCTTTGTTCTTGTTGGCATCTGTGTAGAAGAAGCCGGGAGACTGGCCGGTCTTTCGGCCAAAGAGGCCGTTCAGGTTGGGCCCTGTCTTGTGCTTGCCCCCATTCTCCACCGTGTGGCACGGGGCACACTTCTGAACAAAGATCTTCTCGCCCTTCTCCACGTCACCCATGGTGAGATTGGCTAGTCCCGCAGCCCCGCGCTTATCCACTCCTTCGCCGCCTCGGACCGACTTGCGCTTCCTCTCTTGAAGCCAATTCTTTCCTGACCGCAATCCCAATATTCTTTCCACTCCACCAAACTGTTCCTAAGTGAGTAAGAGGAGATCAGGTAGAGGCAATGAATATGGGCAACTTTTTCAAGAAGTTTGGCTAAGAAAAAAAGGAAAAACACAGGATGATAGCTCAAGTAAATGTCTAGTTGATGCATAAGGGATTTTTAAGGATGGTGAGATGGTTATATTTGTAGGCAGCATGGAAGGAGCCAGTACAAAAGGAAAAATTGAAGATCAGAGGGAGGGGATATGTAATTCCCAGCAAGAATAAAGAACATTCCCTTTCCTGGCCACACATCTCTAATTTCCTCTTCTAGTTGTGTATCTGAGGCGGGAGAGAGGGGAACAGAGAGAAAAGGAGGAGAAACTTTGGGTAGGAATTTTTCCCCTTTTTCCTATTCCCTACCCAAATTCCCAAGTGTCTCCTTGTCCCATCTTTCTTAGGGAGTGCCAGGGTAAGTTCCTTCTCATTTCTGAAGTGGGGTTCATTGTAGCCATAGCATTGGGTTACAGAGATACCAGCAATAGAGTGTATCCTTATTAGTTATAACTCAATCATGCTTATGGCTGGACATTGTGTGTTACTTGGTATTCTGAGAGCCAGACATTTTCATCTGCTAGTAGAGTATATCTACAATTTTGGCTTTTGTCCATTATGGACACCAGAGTGTCAGATTTTGGTCAACTCTGAGTTCTCTACTGTCTTTAGAGATTTGAAGCAAAGGATCATAGACATATACTTAGCACTGGAAGGGACCTCACAGATCCACCCCCTTCATTTAGCAGATGAGGAAACTATTTTCCAGAAAGGTAAGTGACTTGCTCAAGTTAACACTGCTAGTCTGCAGCAAAGCCAAGATTTGAATCCAGATCTTTTGACCCCAAATTCAGTAATTATTCCACTAAACCATACTTTTTTTTTGCCTTCAATGTCTATTAACACATTTTCAAACAGCTTCCATTAATCAGCAAGTATTAATTAAGTATCTGCTGTGTGCCAGACATTGCACTAGGTGCTAGGGATACAGAGACAAAAATGATATTAATCAAAATTAATCAAAAATGATTAAGTCCAAATCCTGAAGAAAGTTCTTAAGTTAAAAAAAAATTATCATTAAACAAATTTCCTTTAAGTGTGTAAGGCCAGTATAACAATATAACTGCAGTTTGCATCTGAAGTCAATATGATGCTAGAAAGTGTCAACAAGGCAGGGTTGTTTGGTGTAGTGGAAAAATTTTTGGATGAGGCATAAGAGAAACTGAGGGTGCTACTTCTGACTCTGATCATAACTGTGGCTCCCATTTTCATATCAGAAAAATGAGGTAGTTGGGCTGGGTGGTCTTTAAAGTTGCTTCTAACTCTAAGCAAACAGTTATTTAAGTTGTTCTAGAGTTCAGGAAGAGGGTCAGATTATGTATCCAAAAAGACGGTTGAGTTATTATCCTAGACACAGGGCTGCAGGATTTTTAGGCTAGGGTTTGTAGGTCAGGATAGAAAAAGCATAGTTCATTCTGGGCTTTTTCTCAGGCTCCATTATAACTCCAGGGAGGTGTCCTTTCTGCCCCAAAGCAGGCATCCATCCCTGCTCAATCCTAGGATACCATCTTCTGGATCCAGTGGCCAGCTTAACTTTTACCAAAGGCCCGACTTCCACCAGAGCGGTTACCTTTCACATGTTTCCTGGCTTTTAGACCCATTTCATTTTGGACATCCAGGATCAAGAAAAGGGGTCAGTAGTGTAGATGATATAACAATTGGTGCCCCACAGCTATATCCCTCCTTAGCAGTGAGCTTATCCTAGTTCCCTCTAGCCTTATTCATTATCTTTTTTCACTGCGCACTCTGGAACACCCCTCTATTGCTAATAAACTCACCATCATCCTAAATCTCTTTGTCTCACTTCTCTCCTCTCCAGTTTTCTGGTGCTTACTAGATTGGTCCTGAAGATACTGTGTTTCTCAGTGCCCTCTCCATAGTTGGCTCCTCCTTTTTTCACATTCCCTGATATACAGGGTCAGGGGGAAGAATTGGCATGCTCTTTTCTGCCACTTACAGATCCTCCCTCTGCTACTATTATTCAGCAACCACCTCTCCCTTTTTCCAGTTTTCCCCATCCTGACAGATCCTTATTGCTTTCTTCTATGGACCTCTAGCACACCCTCCACCTCTGTAAGAAGTCTGTATCCTCAATCTCCCCAACTCCCATGACTTCTGTTTTGAGGTTACTTTAACAATGAACAGAAGTCATGCTCTTTTAGACCAGTGGTTTTAAACTCAAATAGAAACAGAGGCCTCTAATCTATACATAAGTATCCCCAAAGGTTGCATATTGACCTAGTTTTAAAATCTAGTGCTATGTTTAATTATATTTTCAGTTATTTTGTTAAATATTTACTAATTACATTTTAATCTGTTGTGGGGAGCACTTAGGAGTGTTGTTGGCTACTTGAAACCTCTGCTTTAGATAATCTGCCTACTGTTCCATTCAACTAAATAAGCCTAGGGCAACCAGGTGACACAGTGGATAGTGTGCCAGGCCTGGAGTCAGGAAGACTCATCTTCCTAAGTTCAAATCTGGCCTCAGACAATTACAAGCTATGTGACCCTGGGCAAGTCACTTGACTCTGTTTACCTCAGTTTCCTCATCTGTAAAATGAACTGGAGAAGGAAATGGCAGACCACTCCAGTGTCTTTGCTAAGAAAACTCCAAATGGGGTCACAAAAAGATGGATGCAACTGAATGACTCAACAACAACAAAATATACCTGAGTGCTCTAATGGCTAATTTTACCTCTAGTTGGGACATGGATTTCTGGGTAAAGGGTTTATTTGAATTTGTATACTCCTGAACGGTGACTTTAAGGACAGCTGGCAACACAGGATCTCTGTCAAAGAAATTTAGGCTACTTTGTAGACCACCAGACTAATCCCTAAATGCCCCCAAAGGCATTCTAAGTATGAAATTTTCATGCAACCTCTGACAGACCTAATTTATATGTGAAAAACTGAAAAAAAAAATGATTTTGCTCTACCTCCTACATTCCATGTCAAAGTAGAAACAACCAAGAATGTCAATTACCAAAGCTCAGGAAAGCAGAATAAACTTGATCCCTTAACTCACCCTATTATGCCTGGCAGTTGTTCCTAATATGATTTTGTACCATGGTGAGTGGCCTTAAATATTACATGATCTGTTGTTCTTGGATATAATCAAATTTAATGACATTAGTTTTATCCAACCACAGTCTTCTTTTAATGTGATTTGGGAATTTTAAATAAATAAATGATGCATCAGTTATTTTATGACTAGTTTTTGAAGACGATCAGTTTTCCTTTTAGGTTAGTTTCATTTTTTAATTCTTGTAACAGGGCTTTATTCTCTATGACAAAGGTAAAATGCAATTTCACCTAATTTTTAAAAGATAAACTTGCTTTACTGAAGGCAAGAAATCTTGAATTTTCTGGTACATCATGTTAGTGCCTTTTTTGCTGACCCATGAAGCCAACTGACTTTGGTTAAGATCATGTGGCAAATCAAGTTGCAGTGGGTAAAATTTAGAAAATTGTATGGTTGGAATTAACTATCCGAAGTCTGGTGTACTTAGATTCATCACATTAGAGGTGATGCAGTTAATGATAATTTATGAAAGCCTTTTTTTTTGGTTAATGCAATACCTTGAATTAATTAATTAATTAATAAATTGGCTACTTTTCCCATTTAAAATGATGGATTTGGGGATTATCATGGTGCTAAGGAACCTAACTAAAAGCCAATCACTGAGATTTTTTTTAATGTTTGACTCAAGTCCACCAGTGGCAACATTCTGGATGAGACAGAATTAATTTTTATTCCTTTAAAAATGAATTAGTTGGGGCAGCTAGGTGGCACAGTGGATAGAGTGCCAGCCCTAGAGTCAAGAGGACCTGAGTTTAAATCTAGCCTCAGACACTTATTAGCAGTGTGACCCTGAGCAGGTCCCTTAACCCTGACTGCCTAAAAATGAATGAATGAATATTTGAATAAATGAATGAATAAATATGTTACCTATAACCCAAGATTCTTAGGGTCATAGATTTAGAGCTAGAAGGGATCTTAAAGACCATTTTGCCCAATTTCCTCAATTTTATAGGTGAAGAAACTAAGATATGGAAAGGTTAGGTGACTTGCCCAAGAGCATACAGGTAGAAGTATTAGAGGCAGAATCTAAACCAGGTCCTCTGATTCCAAAACCAGAGTTCTTTCTACTGTACAACAACTCCAACCCCCCCTCCCCAGAATTATTCCTACTGCATAGTTCCTGCTTTTCTTACTCTGTGGAGGAGATATGAATTGGGGTTTTTGGCTTGCCTCTGGACATCTGAAGCTTCCTGATGGACTTTCCAGAGACATTATGAGTTGGAAAGGGTGAAGGATGTTTTCCCTGATTTTTTTAAATTCTAAAGTAGATCATGGGGATGCCACTTTCAACTCTCAGCAAGGAGTTATTTTGAGAATCTAGCCTTGTTTTTCTAAAGAACAGTAACACCAGAAGATATTCATCAATCAGTGGCAGAGATAATTGTAATCGCCTAACACTTCTGGCTTCCTTCAGAAATCCTTCACGTCCTTAAATGGGCTGCTTCAAGTGAAAGCCATAAGTGAGTACAGGAGAGAATTTATGTGTGAAGGTGTCAATGCTGGCATGCCACAGTATTTTAAGACAGTGATGTGGCAAGGCAGGGGACAAAATAAGAAAAGTAAAGTAATTTACAAAGTGATTGAAAAGACAATGTTTGCATTTAGGATTTAATTTCCTTTAAGGATGAAGCTTAAGAACCTTTAATTTTAGAATTATAAAATTTCAGGGTCTGAGTTGAATTAGAGTGGATTTGAAAGACAACTCCATTGAGCAGGTGA